AAAGAACACACGCTTTCTGTTGTTCCTTGTGATAAATCATTGAAGAAAAATGCTTTATTGCAAACCTGTTCAGTGTTAGCTCATTATGACGGAAAGTCAGAGTTAACTAATTTAATTTTCGATTGTGGTGCTACACGAAGTTTTGTTCATATTAGTGTAGTTAAGAAATTAAACTTAAAATTTGTTGGAGAAGAAACATTGTCTATTTATTCTTTCGGAATGAAATACGCAGTACCTAAAACATATAAGGTTGTCGAATTCTGTGTTTCGGATGCGAAGCAAAAGAACAAAATAAAAAATCAGCTGTCTCGTCACTGACGCCATAACGGCTGCGCATATGACCACGCCGTCAAAACAAACACTAAAAATGATGAATGAGTGCGGATTGCGAATCGCTTGTTTATGTAAAAGAAGCGTTGGAATTCTAATAGGTGTGGATTATTACTGGAAGATGGTAAGGGGGGAAAAGATTCAATTAGGAAAGGAAATTTATGCGATTTCTACTATGTTTGGATGGGTCCCAGTTGGCCTTCAAGATAAAGAGAGCGAAATAGTATCTCAAAACACGGCAATAGTAAACCTTTCTTCTTGCGTAACTGATTCATTGAGATCGTTATGGACTTTAGATTTGATGGGCCTTACCGATGACTCAGCGATTTCTAACGAGGTGAGAGAAATGATTCAGAGCTTTGAAAAGGAAATACGGGTAGAAGGTAATAGATACTATGTCAGTTTATTATGGAAATCGGAAGCAGGGCAATTAGAAAATAATTTCGGAGTAGCATTAAGACGATTTGAAAGTCTTAAAAATAGACTTATTAGAAATCCTGAGATTTATCAGCAGTATAAATCCGTAATTGAAGAGCAAGAGAAATGTATAGTTGAGAAGTGTTCACAGGAAATAACGGAGGCATCGTATTTTATGCCGCACAGGGAAATAATAAAACCTAAGGAAACCACAAGGTTGTAGGATTGTTTACGACGCGAGCTCTTCTAGAACTAAAGGTGTAAAGTCCTTAAATGATTTTTTAGACATTGGACCTAGTTTGATCCCCGTGGTTTTGGACATAATTTTAAAATTTCGGAAATATGAAATTGCTTTCAGCGGAGATTTAGCTAAGGCCTTTTTAATGATAGGAATCTTAGAAAAGGATAGGGAATATTTAAAATTTCTTTGGTTCGGGAATAGTGAGGAAAAAATATAAAGTTTTAAGGTTTAAACGTCTTCCATTCGGACTTTGCTGTAGTCCAGCAATTTTAGCGATGACGATAAAATTCCACATTAAAAAATATAAAAGCACAAATCCAGAAAGTTATGAAATGTTAGATTCCTCGTTATATGTAGACGATTTATACTACGGTGCAGACACTATTGAAGATGCATGTCGATTATCCTCAGACGCGGTTAAGATTTTTAAAGACGCTGAGATGAATTTGAGAAAATTAAGGTCAAATTCCGAGGAACTTAATTCCTGGTGGATTGGAAAAGGTTATAACATAGAACCAGCTAAAGAGTCAAAATTTTTGGGCATGATCTGGAACTCTGAAGCAGATAAGATCAAGTTGAATTGCGAATTTTTAGGAAATTTATCCCATGACAGTGCTGAGGCCACAAAAAGGACTATTCTCCAAAGGGTGGCCAAAGTTTACGATCCAATTGGTGTGTTTCAACCCTTTGTGATGAAAATGAAAATTCTGTTACAAAAAATTTGGACATTAGGTGTGGACTGGGATGATACCCTTCCATTAGAAATAATTAAGGACTGGAGTCGCTGGCAAGCTGAATTAAAGGTGTTGGAGGATTTTTCTCTTCCGAGAAAATATTTTGGTAGTAGTGAAAAATCTAATGTTAGTCTTCATGTATTTGCTGACGCTAGCCCTAAAGCGTACGGCGCAGTAGCATACTTTAGATACCTTGATTCAGAAAACATTATTTGCACCAGTTTCATTACCGCAAAGGGTCGCGTAGCTCCACTCAAGACTATGACTTTACCTCGTTTGGAGTTGATGGCTGCTTTAGTAGCCGCCAAATTGTCTATGTATTTGACAAAGCTGTTTCCTGAACTGTGTCATCAAAAGTTTCTTTGGAGTGATAGCCAAATAACTATCTACTGGATAAAGGGATGTGCAAGAAACTGGAAACCCTTTGTATCAAACAGAGTTTCTGATATTCAGTCACTCACGGATCCTGAATGCTGGTTTCACTGCAGTGGGAGTGAAAACCCTGCTGACCTTTTATCTCGAGGAGAAAATGCCTTTAATCTTGTGAGAAGTTCCCTTTGGTTACAGGGACCTAGCTGGCTGTCTCAACCTGAAAGTGTTTGGCCAGTAAATCAACAGACCAACATCGACGAGGAGAGCGTTCAGAACGAAGCAAGGGTGCAAACATCTCTTCATGTTTCTGTTCAAGACGTAGAATCTTCGGCATTACTACAGTTAACGCGATTCAGCAGGCTGCTGAAGGTGTATCGAATTACGGCTTATGTTATGCGGTTTACCAACAATATAAAACGAAATTCAGTGAAAGTCAAAGGTCCATTAAGCTCTGTTGAGATTTCGCGAGCTGAGCTCTATTGGGTAAAAGTTACACAGCGAAAATACTTTGCGAAAGAGATTCTAGATCTATCAAGTGGAAAATGCTTAGAAAAGACATCGTCGATTTATTCACTTAACCCAGAATTGGATACCCATGGTCTTCTGCGTTTAAAGGGCAGACTTCAATTCTCAGACTTTTCTTTCGAAAACACCCATGGCTGTTACCTTATAAAGATAGATACAGTGAACTAGTAATTTTTGAGTCTCATAACAAATTGTTTCATGCTGGAGTCGAAGCTACCTTAGCCGATATTAGAGAAAAGTTTTGGATCATAAAAGGACGCCAATTCGTCAAGTCCACGTTAAGTAAGTGCTTTTTGTGTAAACGATACAAGGTGCGTGCCGGTACACAGGAAACCGCTCCTTTACCACCTGATCGTGTTCTTCAATCATCTCCATTTTCTGTAACAGGGCTGGATTATGCTGGTCCCTTTTTTACAAAGGACAGCAAGAATAAACATTATCTGCTTTTGTTTACATGTGCTACAACTCGAGCTTTACATCTAGAACTTGTCCCTTCTATGAGCGTGGAGAATTTCATGCTTGCGTTTCGCAGGTTTATTTCTCGTCGTGGATTGTGCTCAACGATATATTCGGACAATGCCAAGACATTCAAATGTGCTGATCTCGAGTTGCGAAAAATTTGGAAGTGTATTCAACATCCATCTGTACAAAATTTGTTTTCTTCCCACGGTATAACATGGAAGTTTATTGTGGAAAAAGGAGCATGGTGGGGAGGGTTCTGGGAAAGGCATTTTAGAACGATCAAAACTTGTTTAAGGAAAATAGTTGGGACGTTCTAGTCTCTGTTTTGAATGAGCTAGAAACAGTCTTCGTAGAAATCGAAGCCATAATTAATTCAAGACCCATAACGTATGTCTACAATGACCCTTCAGAACCCTCACCGCTAACTCCTGCTCATTTTCTTAATTGGTAAACGTTTACTTTCTCTTCCAGTTACAAGAGTGTGCAGAGAAGACTTGATTGGGTCTAGACATTCCTTGATCAAAAGGTATAAACATCAACAAACCTTGTTAAACCACTTTTGGAATAGGTGGAGGAAGGATTACTTGCTTTCTTTAAGATCTGTGAATTTATGTCCACCTACTAAAGTGTCTGGTCAGTTTTAATGTTAATGATGTAGTCCTTGTACATGACGACCGTTTACCTAGGAATTTGTGGACACTAGGTAAGATAATAGAAACTTATCCTGGCAGAGATGGTCAGGTTCGCTCGTGTCTCATTAAAACTCAAACAGGTAATCTAAAGAGACCAGTACAATTGCTGTACAACCTTGAAGTGCATAATTAGTAGTAAAGAGTTACAGTGTAATAATCTAATTTGTTGTTTGCACATATATCATCTTCTGAGTATCTTTATTGATTGTTGCTAAATGTAGTTTAGTTTATATAATTATTGCGAATTTTGATTTAGTATAATGTTTCTTATTTAGTAATTACTTTATAAGTTGATTTAACGTGTTTAAACATTACTTAATTGTTATTTGTAATTTGATGTAGTTTATAGAGTATTCAAATGTTGTGTTTGATTTAGAAATACTGGTTTATTTTGTATTCGGTTTGTGTGAACTTAGAGTTCACAGGTGGGGAGTGTTGTAAAAAGAGAAGTAGAGGGCGCTGCTTGGCAGTAGCGTAATGCATGTAAGTAGAAACGAAATGTCGTTTGATTAGGCAACATGATTTCTGTGAAGGTAGTCCACCTAACAATAGGACAGTTGTAAATATGTAAATGTAACGAATAATAAATAGCATTAGAAAAACTGAACCATCGGATGTTTTGTGATTGCTCTACGGGCCACCATGGAAAAGTGCAGGTTCGTCACAGATGTTATTATCCTTCACAACTCTTGCATAAATAGCAGTACCATAAGCTTTTTGGCTAGCGTCGCAGAAGCAGTGTAGTTCTAAGATATCGGTTGGCTCTTGTGTATTTAAATTGAGCACGTTTCTAGGAACTCATAACTTTGAAAGTTCAGGAACCTCGGAGCACCACTGAAGCCATTTTTTGTAGATCTACAGGTATTTCTTCATCCATAAGACTTGTAGAATGAACTTTGCATGAATAGTAAACGGTGAAAGCAACCTAAGCGGATCAAAAATCTTTCCAATTGTACGTAGCAGGAATCATTTGGTACTTTTGTTTTTAGACAGACTGTCCACTAGGCTCTGCTTTCCCAATATTAGACAATCTTCAGCAGGATTCCATGACAGTCCCAAAACTTTTATAGTTTTGACTTGTGGCTGTATGTCGAAACCTTCACGTGTCCAAAACTGCATCAATGTATTGTCATTCGTAGTCCATTTTTTTTCGTAGCAGCATGTTAGTTTGGCTAATAATTGATGTAGCTTGAGTGGAGATCTCAAAAGCATCCGTCACATTATCAGCTCCAGAAATAAAATCATCCACATACAAACAGCGGTCTAAGCATTCTGTTGTAGTCTGGAATTCTTCAGAGTGCTTTCTCAGGTTTGTTTTCAAAGTAGCAGTCAAAAGGAATGGACTGCTTGTAACACCAAAAAGAACACGATTAAATCTGTAAACTTGAAATTTACCATTTTCTTCCCATAGAAAGCGAACTGCATCTCTCTCCTTTTTGGCTAATAAAATTTGTAGGAAAGCTTTCTCTATGAAGTAAAGGCGACTTTGTTTAATCTGAAATTAACAAGAATGTTGGATAGGTTCGAATTCAGGTTTGACCCTGACCACAGGCAATCATTTAGACTTAAAGTTATGAACTTGCATCAAATACTATTCTCATTTTTGTAGTTGCACTTTCCTTTCTAAAAACTGGTTGATGAGGCAAATAGAACACAGGTTTATCAACAGGTTCATTAAGACATCTAACTTTCTCTATAATATTCTTATTTTCATAGTCTTTTAAAGTTTCAATATATTACAAATGAAGATTTGGATCTTTTTGAAGTCTACGCATAAGTAAATTAAGTCGCTTTCTTGCAACGATGAAGTTTTTTATTGAGCTCTCCCCAATCTCTTTTCCATGGTAATTGAACCTCATACCGGTTATCTTTAAAACGAACAGTTTTTTCAAAT